ACAAGTGAGAGGAAGAGAGTATGTATGCTACTAAGCCTTGTTTCCCACGCCGGCGGGTATAGGATGATGGTAGGCGCCCACAATACTGTTGAATGTCAGATGCACGTGGGAGGTTGTGTTGTCTTCTTCGGGTATGACAGGCGTCGGCGCCTGCCACACTGTTGATACCTGGAGGCTTGCAAGGGGTTTTACCATGTTTGCCTGGTACGGTAAATGCCAGTGCCCACAACACTGTCGATGCCCAGAGGCATGTGGGGGAGCCTTACTGTATTTGTCTAGTATGAGAGTTAATGGCGCCCACAACATTGTAGGGGAAAATGTCAACGCCTACAACACTGCTTGAGTTCTATCATGTCAGAAGGGTCATAGGGTACTACTTGGCAGGTGCACAGGGTATGGCCCCTGGTATTGCGATTTGACTTGTGCGCCCTGCCTTACTTTCTTCGTCCGTTCCCTGGTCTTTACCGAGCGGATGTCCCCGGTCGGTTAGTCCCAGTCGGCTCTGAATGCGCCAGTTGGAGAAGAGCACTAAGCAGGGTTTGGCGCATCCGCATCCCCGGTTGGGGACGTGGGTCAGAGTTGGAAGCGGTGTTTTGGCCAGGCCTTTCGGTCGGAGAGGCCTTCCGGAGGCGGGCTAGAGACCAAAGCGAGTGCTCCGGTCGGAGAGGCGGGCCGGAGTCAGAAAGCGGGCGCCGTTCCTCCTCGGCCAGGGCTCCTGGTCGGAGATTAGATCGCCCTTCTGGCCTGTCGTTTAGGTACTTGGGCTGGCCCATGAGTTGCGCGTCGTTTGTAACATTGTCCGCTGGGCCGAGCCTTTGTTGGGAAGCCGATCCATGAGGGACCCCGGGTTTATGAACCCGACACTATGAGTTGAGGGTGTTGTGAGGGATGATGAGTGGTGAGATGTGATAATGAGTGGTCAGATATGATGATGAGTGAATGGTGAGAATGAGAGTGTGGTTTGGGTTTTGAGAAGATATTATTAAATACTTGATTCTCTCTATATGCGCTAAGGATGCAAACTACAGCCAAACTATTAGGATCACCAGATCCCTTTATTTTCTATTTTCACTAAAGCTCATTGGTGCTGATCATGGCCTGCACATATATGGTGGTGTGCAGATTTCTTGCCTTGCAATGGTGTTGTGAATGGTAGTTGGTTTGCGATCTGCTCTCAAAGATGACTGTGGATTGGAGAATTGACAAGCTTCGTTGCTACGATTAGGTTTCCGGTGTTTTGTTTGATGTTAGCCCAGAGGGCTTGTAATTAGTCTAGTTTTATTCTTATTTTGTACTCTGATATGTTGTATGACTTTGTAATCAGCTGAAAAGTGGGTGCCCGTGATAGCTGAGATATCATGGGACTATCACAGAGGGGCAAGAGAGTCAGAATTTCTATTTTGGAAATCCCGGTTTGTTTCAGTTGGTATTTGAGCCATACTTGACAGTAGATCGCAACCTTAGAACTGGACGTCAGTCTAGAGCCAACAAGTCTGTCTACCTTAAAAACTATTTTCAAAAATACTTGTGTCCCTGTCTTAACCTTGCATTTGAATGCTATCTCATCTATCTGACTACCCCTGCCAAATAAGTTGACGTTAGTAGACCCTCCCTACCATGCTGTTCCGACTAGCTAGTTGTGTGAATAGGATTGTAATGCTGCTTGAATGATTGGCTCTTGTGTCGTTTCTTGTGTTCCATATGCTTGAGTGTAGGACAGTAGAACGATTTCTGTTTGCTTGTGTGTGTCCATCAAGGTTGCAGAACCGGAAGTCTCGAGTCAGTCAGCCTAGCAGTCGTAACACCGACATGAGTCTGAGTCTAGAGAGTCCAATGAACGTCAACCCTAGTGTGACCATTGAACACCTAGAACCTGACCAGAGTCCTAGAACCAAAAGCACGGAAACACCTAGCTTGACAACAGCCATAGCACGACAGACCCGTGTGTTGCAGAGGCTTGTCGATGCAGTTGCACCTGAGCCATCTCAGACACCTCTCGGTAAGAAGCTTAAGGAATTCTTCAAGCTAAAACCTGCTACCTTCGACCATGCTGACAACCTAATTGAGGTAGATGATTGGTTACATGGAATCAAAAGGCTTGAACTCGTCAAAAGCACCGACAAGGAAGGAGTGAACATTGCCACCTTTCAGCTCAGAGGGATTGCTAGCGCTTGGTGGGAATGCTTTTGCGCTATCCACCCTGACCCCGCCAACATGGGTTGGACAGAGTTTGCTCAAGCATTTCGCGAGCATCACCTCATGGAAGGAGCCATGGATGCAAAGGCCGAAGAATTGAGGAAGCTGCAGATGGGTACAATGTCAGTTCGTGAGTACACCAACAAGTTCATCCAGCTGATGCGGTATGTACCTGAGTACAACAATACAGAGAAACAGAGACGCTACTACTACATAAAGGGTCCGAACCAATCTCTTAGAAGTGTGCTCGTAGCCCGCAACTGCCCAACTCTCAAGTAGTTGATCAATACGGCTAACATCGTGGAAATGGATCTGAAGGAGATAGAGCTAGAGAAGGAAGCACTTCGCAATGAAAAGAGAAAGAGAATCCAACCGAATCCCGCGAGTTCAAGCACTCAGAGGCTCAAGCTTGAGGATAGAATGCTACCTGGACCTTCCCCACAACGAGCCCAGGGACAACCTTGCTATCTACCACAGGTGGTCAATCATCATGATCCCGCGGAGCCTATTTCTGAGCCAAGCACGGAAATCCAAGCCATGTGCATCAGAAGAGAAAAAAGAAAAAGAAGAAGCAAGTTGTTGCGGTTTGTCACACCCGTCATAGGATCGATCACAAGGCACATGTTTGTCCTCAACATCAACCGTCAGCTCCGTTGGGACTGTTTGAGCACCGACCATTGACCCAAAGCATGCAAGTTGTACCAATCAGAGATCATGGAAGACTCAATCATGTGACTTTAGAGAAAGTGATGGAATCACCTGAAGTTGTGCTTGGAAAGTTAGATGTAGACGGAGCCCCAGCTATACTCCTTTTCGACTCGGGTGCTACCTACTCATACGTCTCATCAAAGTTCGTGCAGGAACAACTTCTCCCTACCGAACAACGAAGCAAATCGCTGATCACTAGCTCTCCTCTCGGAGATGTTAGCTGCACCCTGGAGTGCAAGGATGTGAGGATCTTAATAGCAGAACAAGTGTTTAGGAAGAGATGTTAGCTGCACCCTGGAGTCCAAGGTCAAATTACTCGATTCAAGAGATTTGGCGGTTTGGGAAGAGCAAAAACCTGAGAACAAGGAGGAAAAAATGAAAGGAGCCTCGGCCTGGGAAATCTTGACGTGGGTTTTGAATCTGAGCTTGACGCCATGGATCTTGGCTCTGAGGCCGGCGCCGAGACTTATGGCTTCGAGGTCGGCGCCAAGATCTGTGGTTTCGACCTCGGTGCCAGGGTCCATGGCGTCGACCTACCTGCCACGTCAGCGCCACTTGGATGCTCCGTTTTGCCCGGCCAGGCATCTCGGCGCCAAGACCTACGGCGCCGAGACGTGTTACCTCGGCGCCGTAGGTAACGACGCCGACCCAAAAGGTCCAAAGATCAGTTTATGTCGTCCAGAGGGTTAAACGTAATTTTTTTTAAAAAGACCAAATTACAGAAAATTAGACCGGTGCGGCGCCCTCCCGTTTCGTCCGTTGAAAATTGTTGTTATCTTCTATCATCAACTGCACTGCACTGTACTGCACCGATGGGAACGAAATAGTCTAGTCATAGTATTAGGGGGTGTTTGGTTCCATGGACTAAATTTTAGTCCATGTCACATCGAACGTTTGGATGTTAATTATGAGGACTAAACATGAGTTAATTATAAAACTAATTACATAGATGGAGACTAATTTACAAGACGAATTTATTAAGGCTATTAATCCGTCATTAGCACATATTTACTGTAGCACCACATTGTCAAATCATAGACTAATTAGGTTTAAAAAATTCGTCTCGCAAATTAGTCGCAATCTGTACAATTAGTTATTTTTTAGTCTATATTTAATACTCCGTACATGTGTCCGAACATTCGATGGGACAATGACTAAAATTTAGTCCCGGTAACAAACACCCCCTTAGCAGGCCTTACCTGTCGCTCATCGTAGCCTAAAGCTGTAGCACATGTTGGTCTGGTTCCCCCTTAACTCAAAAACAAGTGCAAAACACATGCAGCAGGTTTGCGAGCAGAAGACGCTCGATCGGCTCTAATCCAGTTATCAAGTATAATAAAGTGGCGATAATTGTCAAATCTTTGTGACAGTAATGAATGAAGGACTAATAGAGGTGGAACAATCACACAAATGGCAGTTGCGTCTGGTCCGGCGCGGCGCCGGCGAGCTATCGGCCCCAGCGCAGTGAATGAAATCCGGTCACCTCGTTCCAGATCCTACTGGACACGCCCGGTCCTCTGACAGGTAAGCGCTTGCCCCACGTACCCTGACGGCCGGAGCCGCCACTCCCTTTTTTTTTTATTGCCTCTCATCCACTGTAGTATCGGTTTGTAAACACCCATACAACACATGTATACTACTTACATCATCCGTATACAAACAAATTTATAACTACATTCAATTTTTTTTAAGATCACCGAAATACATTGATTTCGTAGACCATGGATGCGTCGTAATTTTTTTATGGCTCCAGAAGCTACAGTTTTTTTTTTATTAATAAATCCCGGTGAGGATCGGGTGGGCAGGCTGCACACCGCAAGCCTTTGCCATCCGAGCTGAAGCTCGGTCTCAAGCCGCCACTCCCTGTTTTTGCGTTGAGCCCCCTTCCATTAATTTTAATCCCGACCCCAGCCTTCTCCGCCGCGTTTCTAGACATTTGGATTCGCAGTTACGCCCTCCCATTTCTACCTTTTTATAGACCCGCACCCATCGCTGCCGAGCCATTATTACCAGCCGCTCTCCACTCTTTCGCTCTCCATCTCGTGCGAAGCTTGCGGGGTATGGAGATGGCGGCGGCCGGGGGGATGACCCCAGCCATGGCGGACGCTGTGGAGGAGCTCACGCGGCTGTACCGGGAGCTGTCGCCGCGCCCGGCCGTGGAGGAGGTGGAGGCGGCGGCGGCGGTGCTGGCCTCGGCGGACGCGGAGGAGGAGGCGCGCCTCGCCGAGATCGCCAGGGAGGAGGCGGCGGAGCGGGCGCGGGCGCCGGCGCCGGCGCCGGCGCCGGCGTAGGGCCTGCCGGCCGAGGTCTTCGACGTGCTGTGGGAGGCCAGGCGCAACTCCGTGCGCCTCCGCGCGCTGCAGCAGCGGAAGGAGGCCGTGCACGTCGTCGAGCTCGAGAGGCGCTTCAAGCTCTTCGACGACCTCATCCAGAGGGCGTCGCGGGCGGTGTCCCCTGGTGGTGGTGCCAGGGGTGGCGGGGGTGTTGCCGTGGTCGACCACGAGGTCGTCGAGGTCGAGGCGAGGCGGAATCCGGCGCTGGCCGCCGCGGCAACAGAGATAGACCGTGGAAGCAGGGGTGGCTTGGGATTGGAATCCACGTCCGTCTCGTCGCTGCGTCGTGCTGCTTCAGCAGGTATTATTACGCCTTCTTAATTCATCTCAGTATTTCTATTTCCCCTGCAAATCTAGGTGAACTTTCGCTCCGCAGGTGCTATGTTATTCCATTCGATTTCGTTTTCCAAAAAAAATCCTCTTGAGAAAAAAAATAGTTTAATAGGTGTTAGAAACCAAGCTAATCGTTTGATTGGTGTAGTTTCTGTTGACTTGTCCTTGTTTTGTTTTGTAAAAATTTTCTTGTCACCCAAATTTATTTCCTCTACCATATGTTCAGTCCATAGTTCCATTACACTAAGACTTAAGAAACACTTGACTAGGACTTGTTAGTTGAATCAATGTAAGATTTTTTTTCTACAACTATGGTAACATATTATTTTGCCCCAAGATAATCTGTTTATAATTGACTTGTTCATAGGATGCCATCATAATGGTAGTTCTGCTATAATAATGGACACATTTCTTATCACTACTTCACTAGTGCTGGTAATTGGACATGACTAGATTGGCTGTGGGCTTTGTGATGTTTCTATGTTTTAATTGTGGACTGTTCTGTTATGGAACATTGTACCAGAATCAAATAGCTAATTTGATTTTACAGCCAATCACAAATTTGTTTCTGCTGACATTTTTTCCCACCCACCCACACACACCAAAAAAAGTTATTTACTTATTTGGTTGCTTTGAAATGAATGAATTGTTTATTCATTACCACAGACCCCTACGATTGTGATAATTCTGTGTGTAGTGTATTAGCTATACGCATTCTGCAATTCAAATTTTCTGGACATAAATGACAGCGCACCTACTAATTACTTATATCAATATTCTGTGTAGTTCTATACTCCTACTTTTTTTTCATGTGTGTTTTTGCTTGTTATGTGCATTTATTTATGCTCTGCGAATGTGGTCGTGATGGTTCTGCTACACTAATGTTTTTTCGGGAAACTCAACTATAACCTAATAGTTGCATTGAAGTAATTCTAAGTCAACTCCATTGTTGCTGTTTATTTATTTTTACTCAATGTCTATGGTAACATAAGATTTTGTCTGACGATAGTTTTGTATAGATGATCTGTCCATAGGCTTCCATGGTATTAGTAACTCAGTTGTAATAGCTACACTTACCTTCTCATTAGTTCACTATGAGTAGTAATAGGAATAGAGGACATGGGGAGATTTGTGATGATTCTGTGAGGTAGTTTTATACATTCCAGGATTCTCTGCTTCATACATGTGAGGGATATCTCAACTAAACTATCATTATTTGGATATCGGCCAGTAATTCTTTCAAATAGAATTCTTCAGCGTGTTGTGAAAACTGTAAATTACTTACACTTTACTGATTGGAGTAGATAAGAGATGGCAACAAACAATGAACAGTTAGCCACATTTTCTCTAGGCCTAGCATGAGACCATCTTCTTGTGCGGTAACATAAAAAAAAATCAGTGTCTGTATTCTCCTAATAAGTAATAAAGTCTAATATGTCAATTTTTGCAGGTACTGACACAGAAAAGCTGGGCCTTATCCAAGTGGCAAGCCTTATAGAGTCATCGGCAAAGAAGGGGACTACAGAGCTCAATCTCCGGGGTAAGCTGGTGGACCAAGTTGAGTGGCTCCCTGTCTCGCTTGGAAAGTTACAGGATGTCACTGAGCTTGATCTATCTGAGAATAGGATCATGGCACTCCCATCAACAATTGGTAGCCTTAGATACTTGGCAAAGCTTGACCTCCACTCAAACCAGCTTATCAATCTGCCTGATACCTTCGGGGAACTTTTGTGGCAGAACCTCCTAAATTATAGGGCCCACATGCACCTGTCACTGTCCAATGACCTCTGACGACTATGCATATGTTTCCGGTAACTTAAGAAGCACTGTCGGGTATCAAGTGAAGTCAACATCGTAGCTTCTTGCCTTTGATGATTCGACCACGGTTCCTTGCATCAGATTGCTTTGAGCTAACTCGACAACCAGAGCATTATCTACGGTCACATTGACGATTGTCAGCGATAACATCGGCCAAAATTGGCGGGCGGTGGAGGATCAGAATACCATCCTCGTCTTGCGAAGAACCGGGAATATATCTAATTTGGCAAATTGACGCATCTATTCATAACAAACCAAACTTTACTCATAAACATTTAATTGAACTATTAAAAGAGCTTACTACAAACACATTACATTGGGTGTACTTATTTATGTACAAATGCGAGCTTAAGAAGATTACCCAACTAGACTAGAATGCATCTATGATTTACAACTTGTTACGATTCTCCTCGATCACATCAAACCTCGTGATGAGGTATCTATTCGAGAAACATTTCGCATTCATTATCACTTTCATTGACCACCACTATACGGATCCTCTTCTTCTTCCTCTTCAAGTTCATCATCATACGCAATGATGACACAGGTCCATTGCATCACAGAGGAGCTCATGATTTGGATTAGGGAGATTGTTGACCTATGGACTTCTTCATGATTGATTGGTATAATATTCATCTAAGTCTTCTACATAGAACTCTAACTCATGAACTAGGGCTCTGGCTACACCTTCTTTATGTCAAGCCTCAATTTCTTGTTTCACCACCATCATAAGAACTAACATGTGCTCACAATTCTTATGGCGGTGGTGCTTGACACCTCAAAGATCATGTAGAACCCGAGTTCATGAGATGGCATCTATGTAGAAGACTATCTCTGAATATTATACCAATGCATTAAGAAGTCCATAGGTGAAAATCTCCTAATCCAAATCATGAGGATCGGGCCTGCAATGGAGTGTGTCATCATTGCTATGACCATGAACTTGAAGAGGATCCGTATAGTGATGGTCAATGGAACTGATAATGAAAGCGGAAATATTTCTGAATGGATACCTTCATCACGAGGTTTGATGTGATCGAGGAGAATCAGAGATTTAATAATAGTGAGTTCAAGTCTAATTAAATTTAAAGAGTAGCAAGAATGGATTACAATACTGAAACCCAATGTAATGTGTTTGTAGTAAAGTTTTAACAAGTAAATTAATCATGATGCATGTTTGGTTTGTCATTAAACATCAAAGCTCTAAGGCACTGGGTTCAATAGTTCTCATTATATAGGGCATAATAAGATTACTACTCCACCATAGAAACCTTACTAACCAAATAAGGATTGCGAGAATGAATTAAGATCCTCCACCATTTGCCCAAATCATTTTGAAATTTTGTAATAAATTATTTAATCTATTAATTTGGTCAATGTGACCGAGAGAAAATGCTGCTGTTTTGGGAGTTAGCTCAAAGCAACTGATGCAAGGGAACCGTGGTCGTAATCATCAAAGGCAAGAAGCTACGATGTTGACTTCACGGACACCCGATGGGCTTCTTAAGTTACCGGGAACATATGCATAGTCGTCAGAGGTCATTGGACAGTGACAGGTGCATGTGGGCCCTATAATTTAGGAGGTTCTGCCACAACTTTCCAGCCTGATTGATCTTGACTTGCATGCAAACCAGCTAAAGTCTCTTCCTACATCATTTGGAAATCTCACGAGCCTTGCCAATCTTGACCTGAGCTCGAATCTGTTAAAGGTCCTTCCTGACTGTTTAGGAAAGTTAAAAAACTTGAGAAGGTTAATTGCTGAGACGAATGAGCTTGAGGAGCTACCCTATACTATTGGATCGTGCACCTCTCTTGTGGAGCTTAGATTAGATTTTAATCAGCTCAAAGCCCTTCCAGAAGCCATTGGGAAGTTGGAAAACCTGGAAATCCTGACGTTACACTACAACAGAATCAAAGGCCTGCCTACAACAATTGGCCATCTTACCAGGTTGAGGGAGCTGGATGTCAGTTTCAATGAAGTTGAGACTATACCTGATAACATTTGCTTTGCAGCCAGCCTTGTGAAGTTGAATGTCAGCAGAAACTTTGCCGACTTAAGAGCCCTGCCAAAATCAATAGGCGAACTTGAGATGCTAGAGGAGCTGGACATCAGTAGTAACCAGATACGAGTACTTCCAGACTCTTTTGGGCATCTCTCAAAGCTACGTGTGTTTCTTGCTGATGAAACTCCACTGGAAGTACCGCCTAAAGAAGTTGTAAAATTGGGGGCTCAGGTATTCATTGAGGTGTTATTCTCCCATATTTACTGTCTTTTTTTTTTTTTGCCTTCACTGACTGAAATGATGTTTCTTCTGCATGTCAGGAGCTGGTTAATTATATGAAGAATATGGTTGCTGCAAGGGAAGTGAGCCAGAAGGAAACAGATAAGAGGAGCTTCTGGACCTGGCTCGGCTCACTGTTTGGTTGTTGCAAAAAGAATCAAAGGATTGGGACCAGTTCCAGTTTAGCTGAACCATTTCATCTGCATGTATTGTCATGAAATTGTTCAGTTTTGGTCAATCTCTCAAGTCAGCGATGAAATGAGGCATGGCTATTATGGTTATTTTCCACTTTATGTTTGTGTATACAATGGATATGTGTAGCGCTTTCTTTTACATAAGGTTCATTTATGTGTAATTCATCTGTATGAAACACTATCATGTTACTCCATGAAACTCGAGCTGCCCAACATTTCTATTAAATACTACCTCCTGAAAAGAATACAATTCTAGCACGGTACCAAGTTAAAGTAGCTTAAATTTAACTTACTATATATAAAAAGAATTAAGGATATCAAATAAATATCATTAGATTGATCATGAGATATATTTTCATAGTATACTTATTTGGCATCATAAACATTAATATTTTAACTATGTAAACTATATCTACACGACATATGTGATAATGATCATGAAATATCCTTTGTAATTATATTTGTAGAGTTTTAGTATGTTCCTCTAAACCAAAAGCCATGTGCATTGTGTGCATTGTCGTAGATAGGAATAAAAATTGACAACGATATAGCGCGACCCTTCTTCCTCCCTGCGCCCTTCCTTCGCGCCCCCCTCCCCCACCCTTGACCACCACAAGGCGGCGTGCCGGCGACGAAGTCCTCGTCCTCGCCATAGGCTTCCACCACTGGCGACGGGCGATTCCCACGCCTCGCCGTGCCACCCGCAACCCACCACCGCCCACCCTAATCACAGCAGCTCGCCGGCGAGCATCGCCACGATGCCCCCACCGCCAACCCTGCCCAAACGCCATCTCTCGCCACCCCGCCCCGCATCCTCCTAAATCCTCCTTCTAAGGCCACCGGGGGAAACCCTAACCTCGCCAGAACCCTACCACCGGCGACCTCCTCACCTTCTTCCTCTCCGGTGTGGACGTAGGTGTAGGCACAAGCGCGGGCGTATGGGGTCGCGCGCTCGGCGCGTCGCGCGATGTGTCGCGTAATAGAATTTCCATAAAAATTCGTTTCCCCGTGCAACGCACGAGCATATATCTAGCATTTTAACTATGTATTTGGTTAAACTTTAGGCACTTTAAAAAAACACTTAGAATTCATTCTCTTAGGACCGAGAAAGTATGTCAAATTTAAGCTGAGACAAGCTGTTGACTTCCATACAGGAATTGCTATTCTTCCACTGCCCTAGAATCTATAAATTGTTTTTTAAAGACCTTTAATCCGGGTGAAGGTGCACTATTCACCTCCCGTTTTCTACACCTAGTTTCCTATTCATCTACAGTCCCCTTTCCTTGCCATCCGATCGCGCTGCACCCGTCCGATGCCCGACACGCCTACTCCACGCCTCCACGCTGCCTACCGTTGCGGCCCTCCCCCATGTCGCTTTCAAGAAAGGGTTAATTGATTTGTGCCATTATAACTTTACCGTTTCTGAAACACACCGTTATTATTCAATAAACTATATCACTGCCATTATAATTTTTGCCAAACTTGAAATATGCCATTATATGCAGGTCTGTTCGCTTGAACTTATCAGTCGACTTATCAGCTACAATCTATAGTATTTTTCTCTCACAACAAATCAGCTAAGGCTGGCTTATCAGCCAGCTTTAATACCAGCCGAACAGACCCGGTGTCTTTGGCCCACGTGCAAGTGTACGATTTTTTTTGTATTTTCGTATAGACTAGAATACCCCTCCCACTTTATCTCACTTACAGGCTGCCCAATGTGTCGTCCCCTTCCTATGTTCTCTTCCTAGTCCTTTTCATGGACACAGCACGCGCACGGGGACTTGGTCGATTCGGCCGATGTAGGCCTCGCTGGCGGCGAGGAGCTAGCTCATGACCTTCTCAGCCTCCACACGCCTCCATGCTCCTGTTCTTCCTCTCTGTGTGCGCAGCGAGGCTGCGGAGCTAACGAGCATGGTCACGGCTTCCCGGTGGCCTGGTCCTCACGCCGTGGTCAGCCCCTGTGGCGCGGCTACCCGGCAGCCCGGCCAGCCGGAGGTGCGTCTTCGCAGCGGCACGGCGCATCTTCCTGGCTCGCCGGCATTACCGGACGTGCGTGCAGGGGAGCACACTGGGGCCGCGCCCTGTCACGCCGCCGGCGAGGCGGCAGCGACCGGGTGCAGCTGCGCTGCGCGGCGAAAGCGGCGAAGGCTGTGAGCGGGCTACCGCGTCGGCCCAACCAAGCTATGCGCCGGTCGAGCAGGAGGCCACGCCATGGCCGGCAAGCGCGTGGGCGGGCCACCGCGCTGCCGCGCGGGAGAGCGCTGGCTACCTCGTCGGGCCAGCCGAGCCGCTATCGGGCGAGGGCGTGCGCGCTGCTGTGACGCCACCGGACGAGCGCACGTGTGGGTGGGCTATAGCGCCACCGCTGGGCTTGCGTGCAGGTGGGTCACTGCGGGCAAGGGCGCAGGTGGGCCACCGTGCCGCTGCTGCAGTGCACCGAGGCGAGCGAGGAGGCGGCGGAGTCACACCCCCACTGCCAGCAGGTGACCGGAGACAAAGAAGACAATGCATAGAGAGAGAACGTGTGAAGAGGACAGAGGAAGGGGATGACACATTGGGCCCGCCTGTAAGAGGGATAGAGTGAAGGGGTATTCTGGTCCATACGAAAATACAAAAATATTCGTACACCTGCAGGTGGGCCTCAAGACACTGTAGACATTTATAATGGCGTATTTTAGGTTTGGCAAGAATTATAATGGTAATGACGTAGTTTCTTAAATAGTAATAGTGTATTTAAGAAAAGGTAAAATTATAATAGCACACATCCGATTAAGCTTCCAGAAACCACCGCGCCAACCATCGCCAGCCTTATCCATCTCCTCTGTGGGCACTCCACGCGCAGATGCGTCGCACCGCCGCCTCGCAGCCTTTGCCTGCTCTCCTCTGCCCCGTCCGCGATCTCCACCACGTGCGCCCTCCGCCGACCGCCGCGCCGCCCGCAGTGCGCCGCCCCGCAGCAACGCCACCGGGTCGCGATGCGGCCCCGCACCAGCGCCATCCCGCCTCCGGCCAGCTACGATGAAACCTCGTCGAAGCACCCCCCCCCCCCGCCTGCGCCCTCCGCCGGCCACGTGGCGTGGCCCACAGGGCTCTGCTACGCTGTGCCGCACCAACGCCGCTGGGGCGCTCCGTGGCCCCGCAGCAGCGCCGGCCCGACTTCAGCCATCTCCCTCTTGGCGCTTCATCCTTGCGCACTCTTGCAGCGGCGACGGCCGCGCCTATGGCCCTCTCGCTTGGCAAGTGGAGCACCACCGTCCCATGGTCCACGGAGCCTCTTTAGTATATTACAAAGATGCCTATCTTTTGCCTTTCATTTTACTGTCCTTTATCGATTGTCAAACTACACAGCTTAATGCCTTAATACATGGTTCAGGCAGTGTGGGGGTACGACCCCGGATACCCACGGCAGACCACTTGGGATGCGCCCCCAGGGGCGGCCCAGCCCACAAGACGAAGCCTTGCGGGGCACGGCGCTGCTCGGTGCATCTCGTAAGACACCGGGAAGATATCCTGAAGATACTACGAGATCTATTAGGATACGTATGATCCCATGATTCCTGTAATCTGTTATTACTTATCGGTTATCTTCTAGATCTAACGGACTTGTAACCCTGCCCCTGGACTATATAAGGCGGGCAGGGACCCCCTTCAAACACACATAATATCATACGATAACCAGTACAATAGAATAGACCACAGGAGTAGGGTATTACGTTGTGCTGATGGCCCGAACCTGTCTAACTCTTGTGTCTCTGTTGCCTTCTTGTTCTCGATTACACGCATCTTTGCCGATCAATCTACCTTCATGGGATACCCCTTGGACGACTGCCGACGATATTCTGTCGACAGTTGGCGCGCCAGGTATGGGTGTGCCTGATGTTTCCATGTCGAACAAGATGGTATGTTTTGTAGGCTCTTCGTCCCTCCCACAGCCCGGCCAGATCTTCATGGTTGGATCGATCTTGTGGATCATCAACGCTGACAGAGTCAGAGAGCTCATCGAGCCGGTGCAGATCAATACTGCGCCGATCACCCCAACACCTGCGACTATAGATCCGATCTCGGAACCATCTCCGAAGTTGCTTTCACTGACAATTCACCACCCGTTCCCCCGCTACCCAAGGAGGCAAATCAACAACAACGATCTGATCGCATCCATCGATTAGGTTGGCCAAAAGCTCACTGATTGCCTCTCCATCGCAGAATCGGCTCTGACCACTCTGGTCCAACACCGACCAACCTCTGATTCAGATCTATCGGAGGCGGATCGGGAAAGTCCAGGGGTTACGGCCCTACCCTTTGGGCTCACTAGTGTCACCGTCGCCTATCAAGATGCCCTAAGGGGCAAATTCGCCGACTAGGTTGGAGATATCCATCCTCTCGCCCACCAGATCACCGACCAGCTTTCGCCGGCTGTCAACATGCTACACGTCGACTGATGCCCCGAAGCATCCCTCCAAACCATCCTGGAGGAGAATCTAGACTCTGAGTCCTAGGGCTCTACGGAGACCGTCGCCGAAACCATTTCTGAACAACCTCCTTTCCCTCCCTTCCGTGGAGGCGCAATCTTTAACGTCAGCGTCGACAGCCCCCCGTGGGAAGGGAAAACCGAGGAGGACCACGCCTCTCGCATCAATAGCAACGATCAGCTCGACTTGCAAGGAAAGCCATGCCAACTCCAACGCAACCTTGATGATGAATTTGTCCGTGTTGACAGCCACGACATCTACAAGACCCCAAGCGCCAACTTGGCCATGGCCGCCAACGAGCTCGCCCGGCTCCCACAGACACCGGAGGTCGCCAAGGTCGCCGTCATGCTTAAAGCGGCACACTGCCAGGTCAACGAGATCCAGCAGGATCAGAGACCTTCCTACTCGACGAGCTCGATTCGCCGATCAGCCGCGCCAAGATCTAATCGCCACCCTAGCCAAAGTCATTTCGCCGACCAGCACCGCGATGATGGACAACCTCTCCAGGGGGGAGCCAGGGGCAACCGCGTCGACCACCCTCGCCAACACGAC